TAGGTGAGGTTTGTATAAGGTACCCACCTTGTACTATACAAGTAATGTGCAACTCTAGATTTTGCTGGAAGGTGTAATTTGGCATCAGAAACTTTATAATAGCTTTTAAATCCATGGTCAATCTTAATTTTGAAACTTAAAATTTCACAAAAATTGTAGATTGAGCCCGATCTATAAACAATTGATAATGTTGAAACTAGACAATCCATATCTAAGTAACTTATTACAAGATGCATTATTTTTAGGAAAAAGTTCATATAGCGCTGAGGCTCTAAACAATCAAATTTGAGCCAACCTCATTGATTTCACTAGAAGGGGTTGTTTTGATGCCCAAATATCCTCAAATTAATCATCTCGACATCAAGATACATGGACAAGAGGAAAAATGGATTTTAAGTTTTGAAAATGATGTATTTTGTAACTCATTTTTTATCGTCAATTTTCAAGATTTTTAAGTTTTCGTAGATCTGTTGATCGACACTATTTTTGAAGCTTTAAACTCTATAAATAAAAATAAAAATACATTTTAAGGCTATCACTAAGATTTGTGATATTGAAACCACATTTCTCGACACTATTTAAAGGTAGGCTCTAATTTGATTGTTTACGGCCTAGGCTCTATACAAACTGCACCCTTATTTTTAGGGTTTTTATTTTCATATTTTATCCATACATTTTGAGGTCAGGATGATAAATTAGAAGGTTTTTTTCAACTTCAAAATACTCATTTCAACTGGATTTTTAAGGTGCATCCTACTGCTATAGTATAAGGTTGTAACCTCATGTAAAGTTTTTTCTTTATTTTAGAGATAATTTTGTACTTAATTTTATGGAAATTTATCAATATACCCATGAGATTCAATAATCTAACATATTACACATGTTAATATAATTTCAAAATCTTCATCAAACAATACATGATCGTGATTTAGAATTGTTGCATACTTGCAAAATATTAAATAATACATCTCTTATAGGTATTTTGTTAAAATTTTCTTAATTATATAATACACGTCAAGAGACATATAATCCTGACATGGAATAGTTGTAAATGGATGAAGTGTTAAATAATTAATAATTATATGTTAAATAATTAATAATTAATCTCTTATAGATATCTGGGTAAATTTCTTGTGAAAATCCCTTGGATTTCGGCTTAGTGGTAAATATAACGTGTTGATCGAGGGAAACCTAGAATTCAAATCTATGAAATTTTGACCCTAAAACTTCAAAGAAGCTCAATCTAAAGGCCCTTAGGAAATGGAAATTATCTATTTATGCATTCAAAGCTAATGATAAATAAAACATCAGTTAGAGTGTTGGCTTTAGCTTAGTGATAGACATTGAAGTTTTGTTGAGGGAATGGGAAGGTCTCACATCCACGTCCTACGGCAAAAATTTAGTTTTGTTTTTATGTTTATTTAACTAATTATCTATAATTTAGGGTGTAAATTAATTTTTATTAGTGGAACTTAATAATAATAAGATATTTTCGATGGAAAATTATCAGAATACCCCTAAATATATTTTTCTCAATATCTTTTGTCAAAAATATTTTTTCATTAATTCTATTTGATTCTCCTTATAAAAATCAATTCAAACCCATGATGTTGGATAGATATAATTGACAAATAAAAGATAAGAAACAAAACTGTTTTGTAGCCCTGTGGTGAGGCTAGATTCCATGTAAACCGTAGAGGGGTGTTGTGCACCCTTTGAGCATGCACATGTTGTGGACGTTGTACTATCCCTGAATTTTTGATAAATCCTTCCTTAAAGTTTCCACTCAGTGACAGCCTAGAAAACCCTTTTTTTTTTTTTTTAAATCAGTCTCTCAAGCCGGCGTTTACAAATATTAATTTCATTGATTTTACAAAGAAGATATTTTTCATATTTTTTCTAGGAAGACATATATTGGTCTTGGTTCCTAAAATATTAATTAACCAAATATATTTCTCTTAAATGGCACAACATAGTTATTCACGTCATTCATATGTAGCTAGTCTAGTCGAAAGCAAATATATGATCATTTTAAAATTAATTAAACATTCAAAATTAATGTTTAACTGGTTTAAAATTATTAAACCAACAAAGTAAGGTTGGGCAATCTTTTATGAAAAGGCGGTTTAATTGTTTTTGTTGCAATATGTAAATTCGGCATCAAGGTTCAAGATATTTAGTTTTTAGGTTCTATGTGAAAAAGTGACACATCATTAGTCGACTGGCTCTACATTTGACATCTATGAGACCTTACTGTACTGAAGGTAAACAACTATAAGGTTGCAACCTTAAACGATCCAATTAAGGCGCATTGCCAAATTTTATTATAACATGTAATTTTGGTATGAAATTTTTTTAGGATTATCTTAAAATCCATTTTTATATCTAATTATAAAATTTTAAACTTTAAAAATAGTCAAAATCAACTGGATCTATAAACATACGAAAGTCTTGAAAATGGAAGGTCTAGATAATTTGTTGCAATATGCACAATTTCTGAGACTCAAAATCTTTCTTTTTATATACATACATCTCGATGTTGAGATGATTAATTAGAAGGTTTTTCAACATTAAAAAAACCTTTTTCCATGGATTATTGAGGTGCATCTTTAATTCTACATTTTTGGCATATCACTTACAAAAAAAAATTTGAGTCCCTTAGACATAAAGTGTAGGGGACTTTTCCTAGTAAAAAGTTTGAGAATATTAAGCTGTTCTGTTCCTTAACAACGTTTTGAGACGAGTAGGTTATACATCAAACTTTTCAGTTTAATTATATTAATACCTCAAATCTAAATCAGATGCCCTAAAATGTCTTTTTTGTTATTACTAGCACATAAAGTTGAACCTATAAAGGGTTCGAATCCTATATAGTAGACACCATTTTTACACTACTTTTATATTTGTAGAGAGCTTACACTACTTTTATATTTATAAAGAGCAACACTACTTTTATATTTATAGAGAGCTTGCACTACTTTTATGTTTATCGAAAGCAATAACCAATACGCCAATATGTTGCTTAATGATAAAAAGTGGCGCTCGAATTATATGTAATTGGTTTTTATTTTCATTTTTGTTTTTTTTAATCTAGGCTAGTTGCTCTAACTTATTTGAGTAAATCGCCTCGGTCAGGACCCGAATATTTTGGCAGAGCCAGTTTTCTGAAAACTGGTTCCTCAAGAGCGTTTTGAGACTTGATCGAGGCAACTCGCCCTATGGTGAGGTGAGCAGGTTGTACATCATACTTCTTAGTTTAATTATATTAATACCTCAAATCGAAATCAGATGTGTTAAAATATATTTTTGGTTATTACTAACACATAAAGTTGAACCTTGTTAGGCACTTTTTTTACATTACTTTTAAAATGTCCCTTTTTTTTTTTGGAGTCCTTTTAAAAAAGAGTAGATCTCAAGGAGTTTTTAAAAAAAGGGTGTGGTTTCCATATGGTTGCAACCTTAAACAATCCAATTAAGGCACACCTCCAAAATTTATCATAACGTGCAATTTTGGTGTAAAATTTTTTGGGATTATCTAAAAATCTATTTTTCATATGTAATTATAAAATTTTAAACTCCAAAAATGGTTAAAATCAAGTAGATCTATAAAAATATGGAAATCTTGAAAATAGATAGTCCAAATAATGTATTGCAAGATACACTATTTTTGAGACTCTCATACTATATATAACTGGCTTTTATCTTCATTTTCTTTAAAGAAAAAGATGAGCTGGACTCGGGTGAGTTACTTGGGCTCACTCTAGTAAATCGCCTCGGCCAGGGCCTGAGTACCTTTGCTAAGTCGAATTTTTTTATCCTAAACAATTAAAATTTGACTTGAAACTCGTGAAAATCTCCAAATCAATTTCCTTTCAAGTGTTGTCTTTGAACTCGTTCATTTTCAATTTGAAGGATGAGATATTTATGGTTTCTAGAGATAGAATACCTTTTATTTTTTGGAAGTGCAAAAAAAAAATCATAATGCGAAATTTGTCAAAGCATAACCCTTATTTATTTTAAGTTTTTGGTAGTTTAGCATAAGGATTAAAACTTCTTGCTAACCATTCAATCCTAAACTCAATTCCTATTAAATTACACATTGTATGTTGACTATTCGACATTTTACATTTAGGTTTTTGTTTAATTTCAAAATACTCATCAAAATACACACCATTTTGGGTTGGAATAGTAGAAAAAGTGCACTTGGCATACAGATGCATCCATAGGTGTAGAGGTAAGGTATACCTTCAAATTTTATCAAGGTATATAATTTTGATGTAAAATGTTTTTAGGATTATCTCAATATCTATTTTTATATCTAATTATAAATTTTAAATTTCAAAAACGTTTAAAATCAAGTACATCTATAAACATATGAAAATCTTAAAAATAAATGGTGTAGATAATATGTTGTAAAATGCACTATTTTTTAGACTTAAAATCTTTTTATTTTTCATGGTCATACATCTCGATGTCGAGATGATCAATTTTTTAACATTAAAACTATCTTTTCCGATGGATTTTGGAGGTGCATCCATAATTCTACGTTATAAGGTTGCATCCTTATATAAACTTTTTCTTAGTAGAAAAGGGGTAGAATGTTAAATAGTTGAAAAATGAGGTATATTTTAATAAAATTTTCAAATATTTTCAAAAAGAATAAAGCAAGTATTGTTTGTCGGGTAGATCACCTAACCATAGGGCTAGACAATGCAGTATATTTCCCAATTCAAACTCCATCTACCCTGCAAAAGAAACCAAAGCCAAGTGTGGGCATTTAAAGTATGGAAAATGATTAAAATGCACCTAATTTATCAACGATTTGACATTTTATTTGCTTTCAACTATTCCAACTCATGATCACATGTATACAATGGACTCTTGAAATTAAATTAAAAAAAAAGGTAAATTGTTAGATAGTTCATCTCCTCTCTTGTGTGCTTGTTGATAAATTTCCCTTTGAAGTATCCACATAGGAGTGCTGGGTTTTGCTAGAATTCAAACCAAAATCATACTTCCAAATTTATGATCTAGTAACAATTGAGCCTAAGATCCCAAACCCTAAGTGGGGGAATTTAAAATTGAATCAAATTTTCACATAAATTAAAAAGTGTACAATCACTTAATTAAATCAGTAGAAAGGAAACTATACATAAACACGTCAACGGTCTTTCCCCTATGGATCAAGTATTTCCTGAGCAGCCCTTCTTTTTTGAATCCAACTTTCTCTAAAACTCTTTGAGACCCCACATTGTCAGCATCTACAAGAGCTTCTATCCTCTCCAACTCTGGCTTATCCTTGAACACACTAGAGAGTACCATATTGACTGCATGTGTTGCTAGGCCTTGGCCCCAATACTTAAAGGCCAACGCATAGCCAATTTCTCCTCTACAAAGGGCCTCACCTGACCCTTGGGTCAAGCATATGGAGCCTATGGGTCGATCACTTAGGCAAATAGTCTTGTGCCATGGGTGGGGAAGGGTTCGATCTCTCAAGTGAGCTAACCCACCTTCTTTAGATGTGTATGCATCCCAACTACAAAACCTAGTAACAAGATCATCACTAGCCCAAACCATGAAGTCATCAATGTCTGAAAGATGGAAGGGCCGCAGGCTCAGTTTGGATATCTGGTCCTCCATTTTCTGACTTGGGTTTTTTGGCCAAGTAGGGAGAGAAAATAAGAGATTGGAAGAGAGACTGAGAGGCTGGTGTGGTTTTGATTTGTGTGGGGGAGTTTTTATAGCACTGGAGATGTTGCTTTCATGGAAGGTTCTTTGAAGCCACAAGTCGTGAGCACCACGTTTTTTCAAAAGTTCAACTTCAAGTCAAAGTTGGTTGACACATTAAAAAAACCTAAACACTATTGGATGAGATTTCTATGACTCAATCGACTCATATATGCGGTTCCCTTCTAAAGTCCGTTTTAAGGATAGATTTTTTAACTAAAGTTTTTTTTATCATTTCATCATCTAGGTTAAGGTGATCATGAATATGAAAATTAAAATAAATTTTAAAAATTAAAGATATATTTTTTTGACATTTTATTATAGACCGTCAATATATTACTTATGTTGCACAATGTCCATCTTTGAGATATACGTTTGAGCCCGTTGACTCACGCTATACTTTTTCTAAATTATTTAAAAAAGGGTGTAGTTTCCATAAAGTTGCAACCTTAAACAATCCAATTAAGACGTACCTTCAAATTTTATCATGATATATAATTTTGATGTAAAATGTTTTTAGGATTATCTCAAAATCTAGTTTTATATCTAATTATAAAATTTTAAATTTAAAAAATGGTTAAAATCAAATAGATCTATAAACATATGAAAATCTTGAAAATGAACGGTGTAGATAATATGTTGTAAGATGCATTATTTTTTAGATTCAAAATACTTTTATTTTTCATAGTCATACATCTCGATTTCGAAATGATCAATCATAGCGTTTTTCAACATTAAAATAACCTTTTTCGATGGATTTTTCTTTCAACATTAAAATAACCTCAAAGGAAGAACATGCTAGACTTATATAATACTTCAAAAGCTGACATATGTACACTACAATTTGAACATCTGGATGCAGCAGTTGAGGAAGACTATGACTCAATTAATCTAGATCATGCACATTTTATGATCAAGTATAGAGAAGTGGTCGGTAGAAGTGGATAAGCAACATCTCAAGAAGTGGACACTGCAAGAAACAATGCGCCTCATGAGTGAGGACGTAAGGAAAAATGTTGGAAGTAACATAGGGCAGATGTGATGGAAGACCATATGACAATATAGGTCGACCTATATTATCAAAGTTGAACTAGCTACCGATTTGGCAATGAGTCTGGTCCAATCAAATCAGTTGAACCGTTTGTTAAACAAATATGAAATATGAGTAATAGTTTAAAAATATGAAATATATTATAAAAAAAAGTTGCCAAAGTGTTTTTAGTGGGTCTAACTAATTGAAACTTATTAGTCCAACATGCAAAAAAAACCCTTGAACATTAGTTTTAACTGATTTTGACCACACTCTATTTCAGCTTTTGGACCTAATTGGTGAACGTACCAGTTGGCAATCCACCCAATATTTGAAAAATTAGTCGAGTCAGCTCGAAATCGATCGAGTTACTTGGGCGGCTTAGCTCCCGAGTTGGGGATCCAACTCCGGATATTAGAAAAAATAAAGAAATTATAAAAAACTCAAAAAATAAGAAATCAATTTATAATATATATTTTTTTTTTCTATCATCTTGGCAAATATTGGAAAGTATTTTGGCCATGAATAATTATTTTATATTTTTCCATCTTTTTAAGAAAAATTGGAAAATACCCGTCCAACCACAAAATATTTTTTTTCGATATTTTTTTAACCACATTTTGGATGTATTTTGTGTATATTTTCTTTTTCTTTTTTTAATTTTGGATTTTTATATTTTATTTTTAATTTTTAAATTTTTTTTTTTTTGCCACATTATTCAGCCCTACACAGGCTTTCAACAATAGTTAGATGGATCATATATCAGACTACCTCCATTTTGAATCGTTCGATTTGGAAACATCAGATCATCCCATATGTTAAAGGAGCTCAGCCTACAGTAACTGTTCATGATATTTTAAAGAAAGCGGAGGTATTTAAATAACTTGGAGTTATTAATCAAATAAAATTCATAAAAGAATGACCAATATCTAGCTTTGTTCAATTGTTTTTTCACCATTCCCTTTTTTTTCTCTCTCTATTCATACCTATTCACTACGGATCTCATATGATACGATCAGACGGCTTCTACAAAATAATTTTGCTCTTGAAGTATCGTAGATGGCCGCCCATCCGCTCTTAAGCTTGTACTGCTGCGTTGCCAATATGGAAGTACACAATTAGTGGAATTGGGATCTTCCACTTCCCAAAGTTTAGCCATTCAAAATATCCTAAGGGGAATTTTATGGTCTGGAGGGGCCTAATAGTATTCTTATCCCGTGGCCCCGAGCCAATGGATTCGATTTGATTTGATACCAAACACGCCTGCCGTCAGTTTTATTCATCAATTTGAGAACAATAAAAATTAAAGGAGTTAGAAAATGCTCTAAATCAATTCAATTCCTCCTGTACTATTAACTTCTTATAGTCCTTCATTTTCTTTTAGCTAATCCGAGCCGGTCTATGAAGAATCGCAATAAGCCGTGCGAATCTCATAGATCAAAATCTTTTCCTTACTTTGTTTTTAAGTTTTAATTTTAAGATTGGTCAAAAGGTTAACATGTATGATTTTAAAAAGAAAATATTTTATATAACGCTGATTCCCTAAACAATCAAACCAAGACGTACCCCAAAATTCACTAGAAAAAGTTTTAATGCCGAAAAACCATAAATCTTATCATCTTGACCTTGAGACATATAGATGTAAAAAAAATAGATTTTAAGTTTTTTGAAATAGTACTTCTTGTAATGCATTATCTAGATTGCCAAATTTCAAGAATTTCAAGTGCTCATAGATTTGTTTGATCTACACTACTTTTGAAGCTTTAAATTTTATAATTAGAGATAAAAATAAATGTTTAGTGCGCCTTACTTTGATTGTTTAGGTGCTCAGCCTTATGCAAACCACATCATTTTAAAAAACTATCAAAAAGCTAGAAAAAGGATTCCAAGTTTCTTAGCACGTATATAAACAATACGTCAATTGGTATTATTAACATAATCGAGAAATAGTTTTAATTTATTATTAATATTTATCATTTTTCAACTATTCTAACTCATGATCATCTATCTTTATTTTTGAAATTAAATCAAATAAATGAGTGACATGCTAAATAGTTGAAAAACTTTCCTTAAAAGTATAACATAGCTGCATACTATACAATACATAAGCATCTCATTTATCGTCATTTTTTAAGATGGATGGTAGAGATGAACTCTAGTACGTTATATTGCCCACTGTTCGTACTGAGAACAGAAAGCAGATGACATGCTTGTGTTATAGGGTTGAGAATGGGTAGGATCGAGTCTGTATCCATGTCTGATCGGATCCACAATATTCAAATCTAGATTTAGATATGAAAAGAATATATGGGATCTAGACCCGATCGATCGAATCCAAAAAAAATTATTTCATATATTATTTTCTATCTATAAATTGATATATAACAAGAAAATATTATATAACATATTTGTATATATAAATATGTAATGTTTTAATAACTGGGTTAGATCCATATTGGATCCACTAGTACTCGGATCCGATCCAAATTATTATTCAAATCCAAATTTTGGATCCAGATCCGACCAGTCGGATCAAAATCGTGGATGCAAACCCAAATCCAAATAAGGTTCAAAATTTAGATTTTCGATCCAAACAGGGTAAATTTTCACCCTATTGTGTTATACACTGCAACATATATCATTCACATCATGTATAGGAATTTCCTGGAGCTTTGACACCAATTACAAAATCCGACACAGCAACTAAGAGAGAGAAACACTTGTTTTTATTATTAAAAAAAATATTACAACATATTTCTAACAATCAGCCATCCCAAATACACTCTCTTCAAAACTTGCAGGCACAACCCATTACTACAACTCTCACTTATAACACACATCATCAACCCAACTTCATGCCTATGCCCACTAGCCCCTTTCATATGGCAACCAACCCATTACATTTTCACTACTCATGCAAGCGCATTGAACCGCCTCACCACGTGGACCACAATGGTCCACGTTAGGCCCATGTTTTTGTACACTGTCGGTTTTAACAACCATCTTATATGAAATTTCTAGAGAGAGAGAGAAGGGTAAGGAAGAGTAGAGGTTAAATGAGGTAAGAGAGAAGGGAGAGCTACATGTTGCTTTCTCCTTCATGTCTCCCCCTCAGCACTAACTCTTCGTTACAACTATTCTTCTGATCATGCCAAGTCTTTCTCTACGTCTAACAAATTTGGTAACATTAAGAACTTTTGTAAATATATCAGGAATTTGTTTTATTTTCCTTATCGATGCCAGTCTGAGCTCTTCATTTAGGACCTTTTCTCGTATGTAATGATGATGCATTTCAATGTGTTTTGTCTTTACATGGAAGATGGGGTTTTCAGCCATTCGAATGGCTTATATGTTGTCATAGAAAAAAGATACTGGTTTCTCAACTGGCTAACGTAAGTTCTCCATCAGAAGTGATAACCATGTGAATTCTTGTGCGGCCATTTCTATAGATCTATATTCCGCTTTGGTGGTCGACAAGAAAACAGTGGGTTGTCTCTTACTACACCAAGAAAATACTGATGAGCCTAGGCTAAAAGAGTATCTAGTAGTAGATTGACGAGTTGTTTTGTCATCAATAAAGTCGGCATCATAGTATTCAGTCAACTCACATTTTCCCTTCTTATGTAACAACTTGTAATCAGCGGTACCTTTGATGTATCATAGGATTCTAGGACCCACATCTAGATGAGGTTTCCTTGGATTCTGCATGAATCGACTGACTACTCCGACTGCATGTGCAATATCAGGCCTAGTAAATGTTAGATAGATCAAGCTATTGACAATCTGTCTGTACATGGTTGGTTCCTTCAGATCTCATCTACACTTAAACTTATGTTTGTCTCCATTGTTGTTGAGATTGGTTTGCAATCGACCATTCTGTACTTCTATTGACACAAGAAGAATCCTTCCTTGACTCGATCAATTTCAAGACCTAAAAAATG